GTCCAGGTTTTTTCCGCAATCTCCTTGTGATTTAAATCACCCTAACTAGTAAAATTTGCTTCCCTGTGTGCTCTCCCCGGGCCCCTCTCCCAGTGTGTCGATCATTGCTCTGTTGCTTCCCTTATTTTTCTCTTGGCCCCTGGGGGGTTTTGTGGTGGGTTTTACTTTTCAAATTTTCACCTTTTCCCTCAGATGGATTGTTCCCACTAAGTAGTCCCTTTTGCCATGCCATCCTTCCCTTTCCCTTTTCTCAAAATCCCCTGGTTTTTTTAATGGCAGTGCAATCCTCCTCCCCCTCTCCTCCCTGTCTTTCCTGGGGATTTGGTATCCGATGGAAAGATTAAAATTTTTATTTTTCGGTGAGTTTGTTTTGTGAGTGTATTATGTCTGGGGATGTCTCTTTTATTCTTTCGTGCCCCTCCTCATTTTTTTGTTATTCCTCTGCATTTGTATACCCACCTTCAATTCTTTTCTAAGCTGTGGCTGGGGGTATATTGGGGATGGGGGGGAAAGGGGGGACCTGGTAAAGGAAAATTGGGTTGTTTCTGTGGGGGTGGAGTTTTTAATGAGTGGGGGGGCATTGGGGGTGTGGCATGGGTGTTTTGATTTTGGAGTTTTTGGTTTCCGGGGTTGACCCGGTTGGGGGTTTTTTTATAGGAAGCGTGAGGGGGGGTATTTGATCTTCTTCCTGGGGTTTTGGTCTCCCGTTTTTCTTCTCCATCCCCTCTCTTTCTCCTTTCGCCTTTGTAACATTCTCTCAGTTTTGCCTTTTTTTGTGATCTGTCACGGGCGGATACACCCTTCCCGTATGTGGCATGTCCCTTTAAACGTGCTTTTTCCCTGCAGGATCCTGGTCCGGTCGCTTCTGCCTTGAAGGTCACTTTCCTGGCCGGGTTTTTTTTTTTACAAATTCCCTATTCTCCGAAAAAATTTTTCCGCGGGTCAGTGTCTTCCCATTGCTTTCATGATGCTTTCAATTGTTTTTTTTCCCCCTTGTTTTTTTGTTTTTTGTTTCCCCTTCGCTTCGTGGAGCCCATACACAAAAAACTGACCCCACCCCTTTTATTCTCCCCCTGCTTATCCCTGTGTATCCCCTCATTTAATTTGGTTTCCCGCACGCGCTTTCCTTTTTTTCCCGTTTCACTGGTAATATACTTGGGGTCAGTGGCCGTCATTTTCCCCCTCGGTTTCCCTTGGGGTCTGTTTTTGTTGTTGGGCCCCACATAAAGCTTAGCTCTTCATTTACACAGTTCCTCTGATAGGCCTCCCCCTGCGTTTTTGCCCCTTCTTTCCCTACAGTCCCCCATTTGTGGCTGAGGTAGCAGTCTCTGTTGTCAACCCCAAAAAGTTCTTTGTTCTTTTTGGCTGTTTTAGTTTTTCAGTTCCTCTTCTAAACCTGTATCTAGCCTCTGCTGC